GAGCATTTGCGGGAAGGATTATGATGAGTACACCTTTCCCTTCCTGCTCCATGAGGATTTGTGATCAGGAGCTGGCCTGGTTTAACTGCTTTGTTAAATCCTTTAGAAGCTTAAATTAGTGAACACAAAAGGGAAATCTAATGGATCTATTAAATCACCATTTGAAAAGTGTCCAAAGATATTTTAAATACAAATACATATTGTACTACGTTTTGAAGAATATACAGTACCATTTGGTTTGGGGTTGGTAAGATTTTTTTGAAGTTTTCGAAAAAGTCTCCTATGCAAGACTGCATTTATTTGATCGAAATATACTTAATTTAGCAGAGTTATCTAACTTGGCTAACCTTAGCTAAGTGTATAAGTGAACGTGTCTGCATGCATGCTAGAGCAGACGCAGGGCAGAGTGACGTGCTGATGAGCATGGCTACTAGCTTCAGCTACTGTTGTTTAACAGTGAAGCTAGTTAGCATTTGCGGGAAGGATTATGATGAGTAAACTTTTCCCTTCCTGCTCCATGAGGATTTGTGATCAGGAGCTGGCCTGGTTTAACTGCTTTGTTAAATCCTTTAGAAGCTTAAATTAGTGAACACAAAAGGGAAATCTAATGGATCTATTAAATCACCATTTGAAAAGTGTCCAAAGATATTTTAAATACAAATACATATTGTACTACGTTTTGAAGAATATACAGTACCATTTGGTTTGGGGTTGGTAAGATTTTTTTGAAGTTTTCGAAAAAGTCTCCTATGCAAGACTGCATTTATTTGATCGAAAAATACAGTTAAAACAGTGATGTTGTGAAATACTAGTACAATTTAAAATTATTGTTTTATATTTTATTATATTCTAAAATGTAATTTATTCGTGTGATGGCAAAGCTGATATTTCAGCATCATTACTCGGGAGCTGGCCTGGTTTAACTGCTTTGTTAAATCCTTTAGAAGCTTAAATTAGTGAACACAAAAGGGAAGTCTAATGGATCTATTAAATCACCATTTGAAAAGTGTCCAAAGATATTTAAATACAAATACATATTGTACTACGTTTTGAAGAATATACAGTACCATTTGGTTTGGGGTTGGTAAGATTTTTTTGAAGTTTTCGAAAAAGTCTCCTATGCAAGACTGCATTTATTTGATCGAAAAATACAGTTAAAACAGTGATGTTGTGAAATACTAGTACAATTTAAAATTATTGTTTTATATTTTATTATATTCTAAAATGTAATTTATTCGTGTGATGGCAAAGCTGATATTTCAGCATCATTACTCGAGTCTTCAGTGTCACAGGATCTTTCAGAAATCATTCTAATATGCTGATTTGCTGCTCAAGAAACATTTCTTATTATCAATGTTGAAAACAGTTGTTCTACTTAATATTTTTGTGGAAACCATGATATTTTTTCAGGATTATTTGATGAGTATAAAGTTCAAAAGAACACCATTTATTTGAAATAGAAACATTTTGTAACAATCATTGTCACATTTGATCAATTTAATGCACCCTTGCTAAATAAAAGTATGAATTACGTTTTGAACAGTAGTCTACTACTCACTCTTTTCCATAAAATGACAATGAATGTGGACTGGATCTTGAAAAAAGACCAAATGTAAAAATACCATAAAAGTATCATAAATGTGGTCTGCTCACATACACTAAATGATAAAGTAAATGATGACTTTTTTTGGTGAACTATTCCTTAAAAAAAACAATTCAATTTAAAATAAAATAAAATCTTAAGTCATTTTTCATAATGCTGAAAAAAACTTTGAATTTGACTCTAATCTGCAGCAGTTCCTGATTTAATATGGCTGTTTGGTCTCTAAGCTTCTCAGACACCATCATAGAGCACTAGAGCAACATACTGTCATGACATTCCACTGCACACAGCCACTGCCCCCTTTAGTTTAGGCCTCTGTGAGCCTTTCACTCTGACTGCCCATGCAAACCGTTCACTGAGTCGGAACAAAAATACAACGAGAAAAAAGCCCTTCAAAGTGGCAATGTACAGTGAGAGTGAAACGATGCTGAACATGATGAACATCAATGCAGTCTTTATTGCACTAATTAATACATTCAAAATAAAATAATAAAAAGTAATAAATGAACACTTTTCTGCCAATGTACCTGATTTTCGCACATTTTTGTATGCAAAAATAAAAAAAAATTATATGCAAGCTGCAAAATGAGCAAGAATTTGTGAGTGTTGTCATTTGATAAATCTTTATGATTACTTATAGAAACCTGAACTCTTAAAACAACATATCAGCCCTCAAAGAAACCATCTAGTGAGGTTCTTGTTTCTCTATATGATGCTGTTGTGCTACAGCTGTGATCAGGGCCGCCCCTTTCCCACTGCCATCCTCTGATAGGATGAAATCCACCTTACAATTGGGCGCGAGCTCTCTGACAGTGTCCTTTAAGATTGTGGAGAAGCTGTCACGAAAAGAGACATGTCAAGTTTAGGATATGAATCCAACACTGATCAAATGAAAATGTAAAGTTGTTGCACTAATCTTTACTTACTGTGGATGTAACTTGTAAAGGGTGCCGTCCACTCCCACAGTAATCTCCAGATTGTCCAGACCACGGTTCTCTCTGATTTTGTCTACAACAGCAGCCATTCCTGCTCCACAGATCTGAGCTGCTCGATGGGAAACAGCTCCACACACTTCCTTCACAATAATACTGTCGTCACATGTGCTGTCCAAGCCCAGACTCTGCAGAATAGACCTCACTTGCAGTAGTGCCAAACGGTCACTGGGTAAATGGAAGAAGCCAAAGCATAAGTCAGAATAAATACATAATGTTGCATTTATTCACTTAGAATTTAGAAGTAAATACATTTAAATGACTTTAACAGTTAAATGACTATTATAAAAGGTGCACTCCATTTTTTTCCCTCATTTAAAAACCTAATTCTAATACTATACTAATTTATGAGCCTCATATACTGTACATGAGGCTCATAAATAGCTAAAGGTGCCCAGTAGCTAAAGGTAAAAGCTACACAGTAGGCTGAACAATATCAGCATGATTAAAGTATTTGTCAAAATATTTAGGGACACATCCTGCCTTCACATTTATGTCATAAATGGCTACTGTACCTCTCAATCTGAGAGAGGAACTTGGTCTCAAAGATGCCTTTGGTCTTCAGTCTCTCTGTGATGCGACCACGAAACAGAAGACCATGCTTTGTGAGATCAATGAGGATTTGCCTTACAATCTCTCCCAAATACATTCCACTGGTCATCTTTTCGAACCTGGAAATGAGAGGATAACACATCAGCTTATATTTGGAAAACCTGAGACTTTGTATATACTTTTAAAAATTTCAATGAATAATAGTAGTAGTAGATTATTTATATTTTAAGTAAAATTATTTAATTATTATTTCATATAAATAAATATATAATTAAATTATAATCTTCCCAACAATGGCAAAGAAAGTAATTAATTACTATTTAAATACCACTTATTTTTGCTTTTTGCCCATAAAAGGCTATGTGCATTGCAACAAGTTGCTAACACTGTTTTCATGCTTCCTGCATGAATTCCTGATAGTATACTGCCTCCATGTGGACTAATGCAGAAAACTTGGATTGCACTTGTCTTGCACAACTGTTTAGAATAACCATTGGAAAATAACATTGTCTAAAATGGTCATCTTTACCTTTGTTTTCCTGGATTGAGTGAGCCTCCATCCACTTCTCTGTCATATCTGGTCCGGATGTCCTCGATATTATCATTTTCCCCAAATCCTCCCCATTCAGTGTTCACACACATCTGGCCTTCATCACCCTCCACAAACTCAATATTCTTCATCTCCTCCATGTAACACACATTGCTTCCCGTTCCTGTGGATTTAAGAATCATAGAGTTGTTGACATGTTGCATACTATAATCTTTGTGTGTGTTGGTTTATAATCAGCAGTGAGGTTGTCAGTTAGCATACAGCCTCACTGAATCACCACCGAAATACATTAATACATACCAGCAATAAGACCAATCTGACATTTAGGGTCCTCATATGCACATGTCATCATTGTGCCAACTGTGTCATTCACTATAGCAACGATATCAAGGTCAAATTCCTGAAAGAACAAATTAAATCACGATCACACCAATACAGACATCAGTAGCACAAAAAAACTACAGTCTCATTCAAATTAGAGGATTATAAGCTACATTATAATTATTTATGAAAAAACATAAGCATTTGATCAAGTCTGAATATTCTGATAATGTGACAATGGATCATTAACATTAATGATGATAATAGTGCTTCTTTGTAAGTGGATGAGTGTGTCGTGCAAAATCAACTTGATGTTTGCTTCCCCTCACATTTCGTCTTTTGATGGCCTCTCTCAGCATATCCACAACATCATACCCCTCGCATTCTGTAGCTTTGAAGCCTTTCGTCCAGCAGACCAGATCTCCCTAAACAAGTGGATGGCAAGGATGATCAATTGAGAGTAGCATTTATCTGTGTGCTTTAACATTTAGTTTTAAGGTGTTATAGCCTTGTTATGAGAATTATATTGACAGCTGAAGTGACCTCTGATATCCCAAGGTAGATCCTTGTTTACCTTATCAATACCTGTCTGATTGCATGGGAAAGAGAAGGTGAAGCCAAGAGGCAAACGAGTGTTCTTCATCCCCATATAGTCCAAGAAATCCGAGATACACTGAACTATGTGGTCAAACAACTGAAATAATAATAATAAAAAAAACTACTTTTCAAAACAAACATGAAAAAAATAGCTTAACATTTCTTGTGAATGTTGTACTGATACATTTCTGACTTTATACAGTATAATGATGGTAAACATGTTATACTAATGTAGGGCTGTGCAAAAAATCGAATGCGATTTTCATGCTCATCTCGTCAGTAAAGCCGGTTCTGTGATTAGTAGTAAATCTCCAGCACGTGCTTTTTTAGATGGAGCGGCATTTACTACACAGAGCCGTAGATCACTCACAAGCTATGCAATATCGCGTTCATAATCGGCAATGAATCGCCTGTGATTTTGAATGCAATTTTGCGTAGCTTGTCAGTGAACTACGGCTCTGCGTAGTAAATGCCGCTCCATCTGAAAACACATGCTGGAGAATTACTACTAATCACAGAACTGGCTTTACTGACGAGATGAGCATGACAATCGCATTCGATTTTTTGCACAGCCCTATACTAATGTATTCATTTGGACTAAAATACTTGTTTATTTATTGATAGTGTTTCACCTCCTCTCCTGTGCCTTGCATGATCTCCAGTGGAATTGCATAAATCTTGTTGTACATCCTGACTGAATTTCGCATACCAGTACGAATCTTAACCACCAACACACGGAAATTGGTTCCACCGAGATCCAGAGCAAGGTACTTTCCTCTTTCTGTGAAAGTAACATTCAGTGACATAAAATGTATGTTAATAAGTCAATTATCATAACGCTCAGACTTCACATCTATTCTGAATCCCACTGAATATACAAATGAAATCAAAATAATGAAATAAATATATAGTCTCAGCATCTCCTCATCCCTAAATAGGACAAGTGGTTTGGAGAATGGATATTAAATTATTATAGTATAGTATAGCATAGTGCTAAAAATAAATAACTCACAAAACATGTACCATGATTGCTATAAGTAGGCAGTTTCCTTTACCTGTCCCATCTGGAGTCCTGTAAACATATGTGGGCAGCATTTTGACTGAGGCAGTGGGATGGGAGTCTTTCTTCAAGCCTCGTTCCAACTCCATGTGCATCTTCGCCTTCACTTCCTGAAGTTGTGTGGGGCTCAAGGCGAAGGCTGCGAGAGTATCATCAATCTCCTTCCTTTGGGAAGCTAACCGCTGAGCTACTGCAGTCACCATGGCGGCACCTTTTGCACTGCCACTTTCAGACAGCACAAAACGGACATGACAGTCTGGCACCAGATGGCGGACCACCTTGTGGAGCCTCTTGGGGTACCTTTAAAATTTAGATACAAGTTGTGGGTTTTAAAACTTCTTCAATCCAATTTCATACTAAACCTCCGTGGGTTTTACATTTTTCTGAAAGTGAACTGACATACTGTGGATGCGTTCTGTAAACCGTCCCATCCACTCCTACTGTGGTCCGAAGGGTTTTCAGCTTCTTGTTTTCTCGGATCCGTGTCAGAATGGCAGCCAAAGCGGCAGCAACCAGATTAGCTGACCTGAAGGAGACAATGGTACAGACATGCTGGACAGCAATGCAGTCATCTTCACTGGGATTTAGACCCAGGTCTTCCAGGATCTCCTTGGTATTCTCCAAACCTCCTTTATACCTGGAAACATCCTCAGTTAGAATATGTACATTTAAACCCCATCTAACCACCAACAACCAGACTGAGCCAGGGTGGAAATCCATGCTGATCTAAACTAATCTATTCAGCAGGGAAAATTCTCAAATAATCACACATGAATATTTAGAACCTAAAATCAGTCATAATAGGCTTGGCATAGGATTCCTCATAGATAGAAAAAACATATTGCGTATTTTAACCCATTTAATATCAGTTTATATAGTTTATATTTGTGAGTATGTAATCTTACTGTTCAATCAAGCAGATATGTTTGGTCTGGAAAGTTCCCTTGGTTCGGAGAGCATCAGAGACTTGGCCACGAAAGAGTAGACCCTTTTTGGCCATCTTCAGCAGGATGAGTCTCACAAGCTCTCCCATGTACATCCCACTCACCATCTTTTCAAAACTGGGAATGACACAACCAGAGTTACAAAGGTAATACATAAACTATAAAACTTGGCGAATTTTTTTTAGTTAAATGCACAAATTTTGGGAATAATCTTAAATCAGATGTGCCCAAACCATTTACTATGATGGGCCAAAAATAAAACTTGATTGAGGGTCAAATGATTGAAAACTTAATTGTGGGAATAATAAAGTAAATGATGCATTATATCCAAATATTATATTTAAATTAATTTTTAAAATCAAATTCATTTATATTATTTACACTTCAATGCAAAAAAAGAAGAAAAAAAAAGAAAAAGCAAAAAGATTAATTATAAATGAATATGTTTCAATGGCACCTTTTTTCCTGCTTTTGTAATATATCATGACGGGCCAAATCAGAGGTCATTACGAGCCAACTTTGGCCCACAGGCCCTGGTTTGGGCATCTCTGTGTTAAAGCAATCTGATGACTTGCCTATTAATAAGCACTTACAGCTGTTTTCCTGGATTAATTGAGGCGGCATCAATTTCACGGTCAAAGCTTGTGATGAAATCATCAAGCACACCATCATCTCCAAATGCCCCCCATTCAGTATTAATACACATCCTGCCTTCATCTCCTTCCACCAGATCAACGTGTCGCATTTCCTCCATGTAACACGCATTAGTGCCTGTACCTGGAGAAACAGATAGTGGAAAAAAATTAAACATTTACATTTCCCTCACCTTTGCATGATTCTTATGAGTCTTAGAGGTCTTCTTTTAAAGTTCTATCATTTGAAATCATTTGAGAGAAAAGTGTCCAGTGAGGCCTTACCTATAATAACCCCCACCTCACAGTTCTGGTCATCATATCCGCAGGTCATCATGGCCCCTACTGTGTCATTGACCATAGCCAGGACATCCACGTCAACATCCTTCACACACACAACAGAAAATCTCACTAGAAAAACAAGAACATGAATCAGCAATACCAGCTGACTATTGCTATGACTTCTACTAGCACCAGCTGGATTCTACTTTCCCATTTTATTCATTGTAAATGATGAACGAAGAAAATGGTAGCCATACCCCAACTTTTTGAATGGCTTTCCGTAATAACTGCACCACATTTTTCCCTTGAACACCTCTAGCCTTGAAATTCTTTGACCATGACAGCAAGACACCCTGTGTCAACACAAACACAATGTGTCAGTGAGATCCGCTGATATGGATGTCTCTTCTTCTTTCATTTCACTGGTGTACTGATAAGAAAATCCACTTTAATCAATATCTTAATGACTTGAGCACATTGATTGAATTAAATCCGGAGTTAAAAAGAAATTTTACATAAACATGTCGGAGTTCAACTGTACCTCATCTATTTTGGATTGCGCACATGGGAAAGAGTAGGTGAAGCCGAGAGGTTTTCTTGTGTGATTAATGTGGTGTTTCTGTAGAAAAGACTTCAAAGATTCTGCCACATGCTCAAAAAGCTGCAAGAGAAACAATAATTTAATGAAAACATTATCAATTAGAACAATCCGCCGCTTATTCATGTTATTCTTTACAGTGACTTAGACCCTAAGGTCAGCTGACCTTGTTTATTGAACACGAGCAATGCATGAATAAATACGTAATTGCTATAAATGCATTGGTATAATTACGAGAACTAACAACAAAGTTTATTCAATCATTTCTTATTAACATCATAATCACAATACACTGAAAAAAGTTTGTAATCCGCAATGGATTATTTTAGCGATGATCACCTCAATTCCGTTGCCATTAAGGATCTCTTCAGGGATGGGAAAGGTTTCACTCTCCATCTGGACTTTCCCCTTCCCATCTTCTGAAACCTTCACCTGTAGTACCTTAAATTTGGAACCCCCCAGATCCAGTGCCAGAAACTCACCCTTCTCTGCAGGAGAAACATATGAAAGAGAACATATGTAAAGCCCTCATAAACCTCAAAGGATTTTAATGATTTAATATTACTCTAATGCAGTGGTTCTGCTTTTTCTGGTGCATGTGAAAAGAGTTACAGTAGTAACCATGTATATGTCAGTGTATACCTGAGCCATCAGGTGTTGAATAAACGTGGGTCGGGAGCATCTTCACTGCAGCTGTAGCATTGCTCTCGTTTGACAGTCCTTTCTCCATCTCCCGCCGAAACCGAGCTGATATGTCCGCCAGCTGATCATCTGATAAGCGCATTGCGTACAGATACCGGTCTACCTGTTGAGAAACACAATTATTTCAAACACTACAAGTTTTGTCCACTCTTCTGATGCCTGGCTTCGTTTCCTTCACACTTTTTTATTTTATACAATCAGTGAAACAAAATACTGTGGAATAAGTGACTGAATAACAATAAAACAAATGATAAATACTGACAAATAATATTAAGAATGATAAAATGTAATTCAACATGTTGAAGGAATGACAACATGAAAATGGCCAAGCAAAAAATAATACTAATACTATCAGTGACTCATGCAATGAAAGATAATGTAGGTGTGTTTCTGGAGATAAAAATGATACTGTTGTAAAATGACACAGTCTCAACAACTATCAGTGAAAACGTGGAGATTCATTTGGCTTACACTTGAACACTCAAGATTAGTTTTGCAGACAAATTTAAACTGTCAATGGGGTTCTTTATGAAACTTAACTTTTATTTATATATTTTTATCAGTGCTGTCAAATGATTAATCGCGATTAATCACATCCAAAATAAAAGTTTTTGTTTACATAATATATATATGTGTACTGTACTGTGTTTATTTATTATGTACATATAAATACACACACATAGTGTATATTTTGAAAATATTTACATGTATATACATTTATATATTTATAGAATTATATTTTATATTATATATATATTTAATATATAAACATATTTTTCTTAAATATATACATGCATGTGTTTGTATTTATATATACATAATAAATATACACAGTACACATACATATATTATGTAAACAAAAACTTTTATTTTGGATACGATTAATCGTGATTAATCATTTGACAGCACTGATTTTTATATATTTATTAGACATGCATTAACAGATAAAGGAAAAGCAGTGGAACAAGTATCCAGCATACACAGGAACTCCTTCAATACTGTTTAAAAAGAATCCCAGGATGTACCTTTGCTCCCTATAAAATTCCCATCCGTCCATTTGTGTTATTGTATCACTTTGATGACTTTACTATTATTATAAAATGTGGAAAACAGTAATAATAAAGAGTGTGTAGCTGTGTCTTTAACTGATAAAGTATAACAGATAACTTCATAATAAACTACTGAAAGTGAAATATGAAATAGTTAAGAACAAAAACAAAATAGTCATTGCTTTAATTTTGGCTCAAAGAGGTGTGAACTTTTATGGAAATGAAAATCATTTCAATAAATGCAAATGAGTAGGTCAAGGTACACTCTCTCCTCATGCAGTCAGTTATCTGCCTACAGAAAGCTCGTGTGAGAAGAGTTAATGATTCCACAGGCTGCAGTGAAATCACATTCATCATGGACAACAGGCTACATCTGACAATACACTGATAACAGAGTTAAACTCTTACTGTCAGCATAGAAAATCACAAAACAGCAAAAAAAAAAAAAAAATCTGACCTCAAAAAGAGAAGTGAATAAAAAAAAACATACTTTATCAATGAATACAGGGCATTATTTTGTAAAAACAATCATTATAATTATCTTCTGATGGAAAGTTTGTCTAAAAAGATATTTTAACAAGTCGAGAGGTTTTATAAGCAATTACCTTCTTGATCTGATCCTCCTGAAGCTTTGAGAAGTAAAAGGACAGCAAATGGACCGCAAACATATTGACTTCCTGACGCAAGTGGCGACCTCAGATAAAATGTGATTTACTTATTGAAAGACAAAATGAGTCATCAGGTTTAATAGTGTCCCCCTCAACCCTCAGGAGTGATTCTTGTATGACTGAAAGTTTTCTTCTGTGCTTGTATTTCCCTATGCGAGAGTTCAGCACTTGGTTTTCCCTCCCCTTTCACGGCTAATTAATGGCTACGCCTCTCCGGCCTCTCTGCTCTCCAGCCTCACCTAGCAATGTGCTTCGCTTCGCTCCGAACCGCAGGAGCACCTTAAAACAATCATGAGTGAAACAATAGTTCAAAAAGAGTCCTTCCTGTTCAGTTTGAGTTCAGTATGTAAACATCCTTAGTGAGAAAGTGAGAGAAACATGCTAAATGCAGAACAGCCTTATCTACGTTCACCAGGACAGAGCTGACAAGATCAATGAGAAGGTATTTCTGCACAGACAATGTCAGGCCTTTGCTCCTCTGGGTTTGTAACTGTAAGGTATTAAATGTAACATAAATGTGCTGTTGTAGCAACAAGTTCACAAAGAGTTTTATGGGCTAAATCCAAGGAAAATGTTCAAGGATTAAGATGTTTCTCAGGCTAATCCGGTTACCATAGTAACGGGCAGAGATTAACAGGGGCCTTCTGCAAACACAGAGCAGATCTACCAAACATTTTTAACACTTCACTTCTTTGCTGAATTATTCATCCCGAAAAAAATGACCCAGCATCATGATACATGCTATTAGCTGTTCCATTTTAATTGACAGTTGCAATGGTGTAAATAAATCAATGTGTAGACAAAAACTGTCCAGATCATTTTCACAAATAGGGTACAAACAGGTGTCCCATTACTTGAAATAATAATAAATTAATAGTAGTAGTTAAAATAAATAAATAAATAAATAAAAGTCACAAATTGCACTCGTTGGAAAGAGGACTATTACCTTACATAATTAACACAAACCAAACTTTATGCTAAGTATCTATCATTTTGACGATAGTGGTCCTGACAGAACTATCATTTTGACTTCCTGAATAATTTTCTAAAGGTTAATAACATTTTTTGTGAAAATCTTTTGAAAAAGAAAAAAAATTTACTAGAAAGTAGTATTAAAGTTAACCTGTAACATACGACAAGTTCTGATTTGCATCGATTTTTTAAAACTGACCCTTACACTGCCCTCAACTGTACAAGGCTGTTGCAGTAAGGTGAACAATGACGAAATCAATCCACATATCAGCTGTAGTATTTCATTGGTCATGTAGAGTTCCTAAAATAACATCAGACTGCATAACCATGCTAAAAATAAAAGAGGGTAAATACAAATGATTGGTTTTCAAAAAAAGGTTCAATGGACTGACAAGAACTGTAGGTCCTGTGCAGCCTTGCGTTTTTTGGTCATGGGAACCTTTCAGCGTTTTTGATTCTGGTTATTATCTTGTAAAAGAAACAGCAGTTTTCTATGGTTAGGCAATGGAAAGCCATTAAAAATATCTATATAATTTTATTGTCACATCTAAAAGGGGGTGTTACATGCCTCTTTTTGACACTCTGTTTTAAATTTCTATGAAAACTGTGACGTTTTATAGCAAGATAGATGTCAAGTGCTCCAGAAAAATGGTGAGGCAACCATTACATCCAGTTCAGAACATCAGCAGTCATACTGTTCTCTTGATCCTCTAAAAGTACAGAAAAGTCCATGTTACACGTTAATGTTCACTTTTTCTTCCCTTTATTTGCTGAATTGGAGTCGTCTCCATGTTGGCTCTGCTCTCGGACCCATTCTCTCTGCAGCTGCTGTAACAGTTCTTTTGTCAGTAGTCCGTCCCGCACCAACCTGGAGCTCAGTGAAGAGTCCGTCGCCCTGGGATCTTTTCTTTGATTCTTTGTCCCTCGTCCCCTCCTCAGTGGTGGTGTGTCTAAAACAGCAAGTCCTATGGAGGCAGTGTTTTCTGCAGAGGCGCGTTGATCCTCTGTGGCACGGATGAGCCGAGTGATGTTACGCACACCAACCTGGATGATTCCGTCCAGTTCCTTTTGAATATCACGGATGAGATTAGCATCAGGGAACATGTCCATGAAGCGATAGCTGCGAGAGGGAAGCAGTCCAAGAGGTTAATCATGGGAAATGAGATTCTTTTTTACTTACTGATCTCTGATTTAAAGCCACAGTTTAAATAAATAGTTACAGATGATTTGTGTTCAACTTTAGGGTAAAAATATATATACCTGAGCCAAAGGTAAAGATCTAGCACATCATGGACAGCCTCGAGGTGAACCAGGTCCTTGATGTTTTTGGGAGGCACCAGAGGCCAATTCACATGTCGACACACCCAGTTGTATATCAGAGGCTCATCTCTGCTAAACTGTCTGGCAAACTATAGAGGACAGATTTTTTTTACAGCATTTATTAGCCAGGTCAATGTTAATTTATAAATATACTATTATACAATTACTACTATATAGTGTTACTATTCTTAACTAAAACTTTTTGAAATTTGAAAAATCATTTACAGTAATTTAATTAAAAGCTGAAATAAAATATTACATGAAAACATTAGAAATCTTGCCTTGGCAACTAACTAATAATAATAAAATATTTCACTAACTGAAATAAACTTAAAGTGCCCCTATTATGGATTTTTGAAAATTACCACAGCTCTAAGTGAATGAAAACATCCTGCAAAGTTTTAAATCTAAAAGTGCTCTGCACTATGAGGGTAAATCCATTAGGGTGCAGTTAGAGTATGTTGAAAAACACCCAACTAATTTTCTCCTCCAACTTCAAAATCATCCTACATCGCTGCAGAAGCACCGACCCAGTGTTTATAAAGTAAACGCGCAAGGAGGGTCAAATACCTTTTACAAAACAAAAGGTAACTTTAACTTATGTTAACAAATAGAACCTTATTATAAAGTGTTAGCACCTTATTAAATCATCTTCATTTTGACGCACTTTAACAAATACAAATATACCATTACAAGAAAATTATATTTAAAATGGCTGTTTCTACTACAACTGGTATTTTTTTCTGTGGAACAGCAGCCATGTTAATGACAGGGTTCGGTCCGTGTACCCTCAGGTAATTTGATTTTCTACTTAAAAAGAAATAATGAGAAATGGAAATAAAGAGATTGATGTTTGTTTTGTTTAAGAAACAGAAGAACAAAAATTAAGCTAGATTTTTTGAGGTTTTTCATAAATAGGCCTAGAATAAAATGAGTAGGCTAAAATCAGAAACCGTGTGTATCATATTTTATTCCATATCATTTTAGATCACATACAGTAATACTCAAATGCCGTTTTACTGGTTATGAATAAAGTAATTTCAGTTAATTTCAGTCAATAACATGCAGCAGCATTTTTTTACCTTGTAAGCGCCGCTAGCAGCCTACACAACAAAGCCGCAGGATTCTCGTGAATAAGCTCGGCTCGCTTGCCCCAACTCTCCTATTGAAAATTGCGGTTGCCGCATATACGGTGTAGCACAGAGGATGGGGGGGGGGAAGACGAAAGGGGCATTTCAGCACTGCCCACACATTCGAAAAACTAATATTAAAGCATAATCTAATTTTTTTACCCATGAACAAAACTGAAAAATCAGCAGTTTCTAATTTTTCTTTATTTCTTTTTAAGTAGAGAATCAAATGACCAGAAGGTACACGGACCAGGATACCGCACAATTTTTTAAATTATTATCCATACATTTTCCAGTTGTTTTTGATTTCCAGGAAAGGATTTTTAAAAATTATTTTATAAAACATCCAAATATAACTTTTTTATTCATTTCCATGTTATTTCTAGGCCTGAAAAGTTTTCTGGAAATCCTGCAGTGATGATGTCTGCACAATTTTCACATACTATTTCCACTGCTTTATAAATAATTTCTTAACTTAACCAAATCAAATGACTAAATGTTCAAAATTTTCTATTAGTTCTCTGCAATTAAATTTTTTTTTTTGCTGTGAATTATTCAGGTTTTGAGCTAACAGGTGGTTCGTTCAGATTATTACGCTCACCTTGAGAAAGGATGTGCAAACGAAGGCCTGTTTCTTGTTAATTGGAGCCGTGCAGAACACGTAGCGGGTACGCAGATTCAGAGGAATATGCTGAATCATATCCGCCAAGAATTTGAAGTCATCAATGTTGCAGACAAAGTAAAGTCCATCCACTTGTGCAAGACTCACAAATATATCCTGTATAAAGGAATAGAAAATAAAGGGAGTGTTTTAAAAGTATATGATTAAAATAATTGTGTGATAATGCTGAATATTTAGACCTACAATAAGGTTTGAGAGAGTCGCTTGGGGAAGATGGTAGGCAAAAATCTCTATCTGCTCTGCTGTGGGGTGTAATCCTGCGGTCTGAGATCAGGAATGCATGAGATACGAACAAATAAGAAAACCTTTTTCCAAACAACATATTTACTTTTATAATAGATAAAATTATTCTTACCTCAATAGGATCAACAGGCTTCCCCAAGATCTCCTTTAAAACAGGCAAGTCATCCCTTTGCATAGTAGTGACCTCACCCTCTTTAAACACAGAGCTGAAGCGTCCTGCTCGGCCAGCGATCTGCAGCGCCTGTGAGGTGGAAATAGTGTCCAGCTCCTTCTCCCCCTTCTCATTCACACTGGGTTTTACCAGAGAATTAAAGATGATTCTCCTAATACTCCTAAAGGAAACAAAGAACCAGTATTTTCTTTAAGATGCTGAAGAAATCAAACTCTGTTGTGCATAATATGCTGTGATTAGTGCAGTGACACAAAAGGCTGAACATAATGCAAAAGAAATTGAAAATATTTCCTTATAGGCAGAGCAGTCAAAAGTATACATTTAGTTCAATGTTTCTCAAACAGGGGGCATTGGGCCCACAAGGGGATCTCGGCAAACATCCAAGGGGGCAACTTAAAAGTATTTAAAATAATAAATTATTATTAATACATTAAAATAACTCTAATCTAAATTAAATTCCTACAAACCAAATAAACAAACAAAGAAGATATAAACTGAAATCTTAATTCTTTTTATTTTCTCTCAGTATTTTTATTGAAAACCTTGAAACTTCTGGAATCACAAAATGAATTGGTGTTAATTTAATACATTAATACTACAGTTTCCTGTATTTTTTTTATGTTT